AGCAAGGGTATTTTTATTTAAACATCAAAAATAGCATACAAGGATATGTCCAGCAAATAAAGGATTTACAAATAAAAAAAGTGTCAAAAAGAACAAAAAAATCATGAAATTATGGAAATGTATGAAAGAAAAGGTGCTTCAATGAACAAGTTCACTGAAAACAATTACAATAATTTAATCGTATAGCACAATAGTAAATCTATTTTGGAGAACGTGCAATTTGGTCCCTTGGTGTTTAATTTATTTAGAAGCGGCGTGTATTATCAAAATGGTGTATTGCGTTCTTTTTTAAGTGAGATGTTAATCGTGATAAGTAAAAAATAACCTATAAAGAATGCTTCAAATTCCTAAAACGTTTATGTATTCTTAGTTTCTTAACAATATTAAAAAAGCAGTCTGCTCATAATAGGGGTAGCAAAGGTAATCTTTAAGATTGCCATTAGGGGCGTTCTAATCCAATCCTCTAATGATGGGTTTGGTTATTGCAAATTATAACCAGATGGAATCCTATCATAAAAAGTCCTATTGAATTTTAAGGTAAATACACTTTGGGCTCTTTTCTCGATGATGAGCATAAACCAAAAATATATAACCAAAGAAAACTTCATCCAAACCTAGCCCCCCTAAAAAAAATGTTAAATCCAAAAAATGTTATATAAGACCAAAAATTCAAGCAGTAATAAATTGATTCGTACTCAGAGTGCCCATCCATCCACTATTTGTTATCAGCTTATCAAGGGTGACAAATTTAAATTTGATCAAACCTAATAAAGAGCCAATATCATATCTAATATATCCATATTACTAACTAAAAAAACACTCACCAATAAGGAAGTTATAAGTTAACTCATGACACATGGTAATGCCTAAAATGTGTTCAAGAATCACAATGACAGAAAGAAAGGCCAAATCCAGATGTTCCCCATTGGCTAGGTTTAAGAGTTATGAGCCATAGCACAACATGATAGAGTATGAAGTCATCTGTTAGCTAACATCAACCTTAAAATTAGCCCCTTTGGTAAGCTCTTCCCACCCAAGTGTACAAGATCCCCCTTGGACAACACAATCCATGGTTAATAATAAATATATTTCAAATCCAAATATACCAATGTCCGTGATAATCTAGTATGATAGAACCAAGGGGTCATGTCAAGCTTGTTCTTATTTCCCCACACCATATGCTCCCAGTAGAACATATATTTCTTCTCCTGATCAAAATCATTGCTACTAAAGCAAAAGAATCATAAAGCCTAGAGATCAACCTTAATCAAAAGTTCTCTCATGTTCGAGAGAGAGTAAATCAAAGCTTATAAGAAACTACGAACCAAAATAACGAAGCCATCATAAAAGGGTTGAATATTTGGGCACTGTTTTATTTGTAATCAAATGTCTTTAGAAAAATCAACCCAAATACCTTATTAACATCAATAAAATTGGGTGTGGATTTTCAAGCCCACAATCATCCATATTTTATACAGCCACTTAATCTTATGAGAATGTCCATATTTACCAAATCATAAGTGCACCACTTGCATCTAACTCTCCAAGAATCATGTCTCCTACATGTTTAATCGCTTAAACACTAACATCTGTCAACCTGATATCTTTGCCAATAATAGCGCTTTGTTTGCACTTAGCCTATCATAAGCATCACCACTTTTAACACCCCACTCTGATTGCCTTAGCTCTTGTCCTCTATCACAGATCCTACTGTTTGCTTCCCAAAATACCCTCAACAACAACACAGCCAACTACCAATCCTTTTGGTCCATCCCAAACTATTTTTCAGTTAACTTTCACCACCCTTCTATGGAAATATGAGCTCTAATAGTAGCAGTTTACTTTTTAGAATCAATTATACTTGAACATTATCAGGCATTGTCACACTATTTTAGAATCACAAATTTCATCGACAAAGTTGAATGCTAAAAAAAGGAAAAAAAAAAAAAAAGACTCCTCCAGCCTTCTTGATATGTATGAGAATTCAAGATAAGTTTTTTCTTGAGGTAGATTTGGTTTGTTCCAACCAAATTCCCCAAAATAAAAGATCACTGCTTATTTAAATATGAGGTTCTTATGGGTACAAATCCACATAATTAATTACCCATCCAATTAGGAAATTTTTGTCACTTCAAGTCTACTAACGAACTCAATCTACCAATCCCTAAGAACTGGTTTGGCAATGGATGTTTGTGTCGTGACATCAAGGAAGCATGATTAGCGATCATGGGTCATCTCTTTTAGGCATCTCAAGCAAATTTGTGAAAAAAAAAATGTATCAAAGAAATACTTTCAAAATTAACTTCATTCCCCAACCATGTACCATCTATGTTGAGTGGTTAGAAGTCATGCAACGTGATTGCTTGTGATTCAAAAGTATTGGGTATGACCAATAATCGTTCAAAAGCACAACACAATAATTAGTTGTCCACAATTTTTAGCTTAGCTCAAGAAGTGTGTATAAGCATATGGAGATTTAGTTGGTTTAGTGAGCAAGATTACTCTAGCTTGAAGTTTTGACAATGTGGTGCATGACCACTTGAGGTGGAACCCTAATTTAATTGAAGAGGGCTTATCACACCAAAGCAAGTAGGTTGAATGCTTCAGAGGCATGAAACATGACCAATCCTTGTTCAAAGCTACATGATAAAATAAACGGCGACGCAAAGGCAAGAAATGATCTATTCAATTTTATGAGAGTGAAACCTAATTTACCTACAGAGATGATGCTTTAGGCATACAAGAATTAATTTTATGTTTCGTTTACGTTTAAATTGTGTATGATATCCTTATATCATTGTTGTTATTAACTTGGTCGAGGGTTAGATCATAGATCCTGGGAAAGACTGAGTGGGCGTAGATTTGGTCTAATATCCATGAGAAAGCCCAAAATTTAAGCTAGATTTCACAGCTTATTAACTTTTTATAATTTAGATTAAACACTAGAGGACTTGGATTCAAAGGAAAGGCCTATATGTGGGATTTACAACCTCAAGCATGAGGCTAGCCAAAGGATTGGCCTTACTACTTCGATGCAATGCATGCTTACGGAGGTAATTGCTCAACAAGATCCTTGGCTCAAATGGGAATCAATACAATCAAATCCAATTCTTTGGCCTATAAGTGTGATGAATTGTGTCGGTCCAATTTCCCTTTCCTTTGAGAAAGATCTGCACAATATAGGACCAAATAAGGAAATTTCTTCCATTCAATTTGAATAATTTTGACTCTCGCCTACTAAAATTTAACTAGAATCATTTGATTGGTTAACTTCTGATATAGAAGACATTTTCTCAAAGAGAAAAATTAAAATTCTCTCGCTTGGAAGTTCATGGTTACTTGTCGTGGAGTAGCAAGTTTACAGTGGAGCAACAGGTGCTTACGGTGGAGCACCAACTGCTTATGGGAGCAAGGAGTCAAAAAATAGTGAGATGGAAGACAAGAAGGGTGATAAGAATTTGTGGGGTTACGGGATTACTGATAAAAATTATGCTCAATATTCCTTGTTCTCTAGATCTTCATACCTTGAAGAGAGAAAAAATAATTTGATTTTTGTATGTTTCATTGGGGGTCCATATATTTATACAACAATTTTCCAGGTCACTTTTATAACTTTTATATATATGTGAAAACTTTTAATTATATTGGAATTCAGGAAGACATTTTACAGCTTGCGAGCATTTATTTTTCTAAAAATTTGTTAAAGATCTTTGACCCTTGAAGAGGCTCACAAATAGCTAGCCTCTAACATCGCCAAAAATTGGTCTATATGGTTTAGCATGGAATCAAACAAGTTTGGTTCTTGGGTAATTCTAGGTCAATAGGATTTTCGTATAGGCTGCAATAATTTGAAAATGTGGACAAGATCTTCCTATGATCTCTTTGTTATTTGAATATGGTTGATTGATACTTCATATGGTTCCTCTGTTCTTTGAAAATATATGCTTGCGTTATTCAAGTACCACCACATGTATGTTTCCTGTGCTTTGGTTGTTTTGTACTTTTGTGTGCTGTCATATGCTACTTGAGGGGTTGTCCAAGTGCCGCGACTTAAATTTTTTTTCGCTGGATTTCTCCGCAATATTACCTACAGATTGAATTGATTGCCTTGATTTGCATCATAGCTGTTATGGGTTTGGGGAGGTCATTTGTGCCTATTCGGGAAATATATCTTATATGGTTAATTTGATTCTTGTAGCTTTGGATTTTGGATAAGATTAAAGTTTAAACTCCAATGGTTATCAAGAATTAATAATATTACCCTAAATAATTTTACTAACCTAAGGATGAGGAGTTTAGATAAATGATCTAAGACATGTAATTGCATAACTTTAATTGAATATTTGACATGTAATTGCATAACTTTAATTGAATAAAATATCTTCAAATTTTCAATCTTGTATGAGATTTTTTTTAGTGAAGTACATGTGTGATTATCTAATTCTAAAGAATGTTATTGCCTTCTAATGGTGTGAGACCTAGATTTCTTCAATAAATTTTATCTTTAATCTAATTTCTTCTACTTAATTGGTTATTAGCTAGCAAGTGCCCGTGATTTTTGTTCAAATTTGGCACAATTGAGAATTCTATCAAGGTGAATGAATTTTTTGATTTCAGGTGGCTTAAAATTTTCATTAGTTTCTTTGATCATTGCATTATTGTTTAAATTTTAATTCCAATATTTGTCAATTTTGCATCTAAAACATAATTTTTGCGTATTTAACGGTTTGTGACCTGTGAATCTTAAGCTCCCTTGCATAATCATAATTACCTCATTTAATTACATTAGAAAACGCTAGCCTACACAGTCTTGCATTAAATTAAATCTACACACATTTGATTAAAAACAATCTTATCAAAACTTACGGGTTGGCTATGCTTTAATTTTTCAATAATGTGTCATATAGTGATGCCAAATAAAAAACTAAACCTTCTACTTTTAGTTTAGCTTGAATTGAACTGATTTGCATCCATACAATTAAAAACATGATGACAATTACCTTTGCCGTATTTTTTCAAGTTCTCTGGGATCAGAGACTAAGACTTGAATGCCCAATTGCATTTTTGTCTTCTGCAGGTTGAAATCAAGGCAAGCAATTCTAGCTGGAGCAACTCTACTTGGCATTCCTTGTGCAGCACGGCCCGTATTCAAAGCATATCCATTCAGTAAGTAGCTGTCTCTGGCACTTTTCCCATGAGCTTTCAAAATGTTTATGCCCTGCTCAAACCAAAAGGTATTGTTAAATAAAATACACAATAAATAGGCATTACAAACGCCTTTAATGAAATAAACCTAAAACATTTCCATACAAAAAAAGTATATAACAAAATTAAAGTAGTCCTGCTAAAATATAAATGAACATTATTGGTAAAAAGTAAGGATGTGAATTCAGTTAGGCTCACAACTCTTCTGATAGTGGAAAACGGGAGTTAAAATTGGAAGGAATATAAATCATAACTATGACCAAACCCATTGACTTGCTAACATATATATGTGATGCAGGATTAAGTATGAAATGCTTTAGTTCACTTAGATTTTGCACAACTCTTGATTAGAATAATTATAGAACAAAACTCACAGCAGTTTAAAATGACAAATCAAAACAAATAAAGGGTCACACCCGCTTAGGCTAAATCACGTGGCAAGAGATTTGAAACTTCCAAAATAAAATAGAAAACAATACAATGGCAAGTAGTAGTTTCAAGGAAATCCCTAATCTAACAACAAGGACTAGTAAACATAAAGGTGCACTCAAACCCTACGTTTACTAAGCTTTAGCATAAGCAGTAGAGAGTTGTCCGTCGTGACTGTCATCAATTCCAAGAGAATTTAGAGTTAGGAAATATAATGAAGGGGGAAAGAGAAACCTTCGTCAAGGAGTGGTGGAGATCCTCCACTCGACGCCTTCGAAGTGTTCGTCGATCGCTTCCACTAAGGTGTCCAGAATGCGTTCGACGTAGTCCTTAATGGTGTGATCAATCCTTGGATTAACGTTGAAGAAAATGGATTGTAGGATGTCGGTGAAGCTCTCCTCGTCCCACGTTAATCCATATTCAGTCTCCGGATCCGCCATTCATGGGTGGTGGAAGACAAGATCTCCTTAGTATTTGATACGCCTCTTGAGTGGTAGCAAAGAGAAAGGATATTCTCTTACAAGTGGAGGGAAAATAATTCCTAAGTCCCCTTTTCAAAAATCTGGAAATAGTTTCAGATTTTGGAGCCGAAATCTGAGAGAATTTTCATATTTCTATGCTTAGGAGGTAGGGGAGTTGGAAGGAGAAACTAAGGCATCAATTTACTTGGGGTATTAAAGAGGGAGAGATGAGATTTGAGAGAGAGAGGCGGTTAGGGAGAAGGAGGCCGGCGGCAATAAGGGGGAAAGGGATGGGGATTTATTTCCTAATTCCAATATTTGGTTTAGGAAATAATTTAATAATTTGAGGCTCTTAGGAAAATTCGGCCAGCACAGATCAAGAGGATTTGAAATTGTTTCCTAAAGCAAAGGTGTTGATTTAGGAGGAAGGGGAAGGGGATTCAGGTGTGGTGGAATCCGGCAGCTAAGTGAGTGTGGAAAGGAGAAGGAAGAAACAAAAGGAAGGAAAGAAAACGAGATAAACAAAAGAAACCACGAACCCAACTTATCTAGGTTGGTGGGCGTTGCGCAAACCTCCCTCTCCTAGGGATCTCTCTCCATTAGAACTCTCAAGCTCTCTCAAACTCATCCAAGCAGAAATATTCATAAGCAATCATTCATTACCCTCAAACATCAGACAAGAGGCTATAAATAGCCAAGTACAATGGACTCAAGAAAATAAAAGACCAACTTGCCCTTTGGGCTCATACACGACAATTCTCACTGAAGGGGTACAAACGAAAAAAACATAATGACACTAAGAAAATAGAAAATACATGAATAATAAAATAACATAAATGACTCATAAATACAAAGACTCGATCGTGGCCATAGATCGGTGACCACGCCTCTGATAAACCTTCCACGAGCTGATGTCCCCATCATTCTCCCGGGGTAGGAGAAAACTCGACTCCGTCGAGTAAGTATCTCTAGCGCTCTCGTAGATCTCTAGTGCATCCTGGTCAATCTGCTGCAATTCCTCGCGATCTAGCCACGTATCCTCTAACTAGGGCTTTCCTTTCCACCTGATCAAATACCTCCTTCGTCCTCCTCTTGGGGATATGATCTCATCACTTAGGATTGCCTCCACCTACTCTGCCATGGGAAAATTCGGAATATCTGGTAGTGGAGGTAGGTTTGGGATCTCATAAGGTGGGTTCACACAAGGGTGTTTTATTAGTGGATTTGGTGGGTTAAAATCAGGACCTTCATACGCCACTAAGTCTTCTATGTTAAAAGAGGGATTTATATTGAACTCTGCAGGCAGATCTACTACATAGGCATTATCGATAATTTTCTTAAGTATTTTGAAAGGTCCAACACTCTATACATGCAATTTCTTAACTGTTCCCGGTGGGAACCGTTCCGGACGAATCCGCAACATCACAGAGTCACCAACCTCAAAAGTTTTAAAGCGTCGTTTCAAGTCTGCATGTAGTTTATATTCACTATTATTCCTTTCAATTTGTTGTGCAATTTCCTTATGAAGCTCATGCAAATGAGATACAAATGATGATGCAGACTCAGAAATTCTATACCTAGAACACATGGTATCAAATCTAACGACTGTTTAGGTTTGAACTCGTATACAATTTCAAAAGGACTTAGACCTGTGGTTCGATTAATGGAATTATTGTAAGCAAACTCAGCAGTATGTAGAATGGAATCTCAATCTCTAATGTGCTCACCAATCAGGGACCGTAGAAAATTACCCAGACTCTTATTAACTACCTCGGTCTAACTATCTGTCTGTGGGTGAAAGACAGTGAAAAATTGAAGTTTGGTGCGTGCCCATTTTCATCCATAGTGTTTTCCAAAAATAGCTAGTGAACTTCACATCTCTATCTGAAACAATGGTTTTGGGTAAACCATATAAACGGACGACCTCATTGAAGTATAACTTCACAATGTGAGAGGCATCGGATGTTTTGGAACATGGAATGAAATGTGTCATTTTAAAAAACCGGTCAACTACCACACAAATGGCATCGTGCCTACGGAGTGTCTTGGGCAGGCCTAAGATAAAGTCCATACTAACATCCTGCCAAGGACAACTGGGGACAGGTAGGGGAGTGTAAAGAGTCGTGTTCTGCTTACGTTGCTTGGCCAGTTGATAGGTGTGACACCGACTGACCAGCCGACCAACATCTCTCTTCAGGCCAGGCCAAAAGAAACGATACTCCACGGATTCGATAGTCTTGTCCCGTCCGAAGTGCCCAGTGAGGCCTCCGGCGTGGAGTTCCCAGACCAGAAATTCCCTAAGGGAGGTGCTCGGGATACAAAGACTCTGGGCTTTGAAGAGATATCCATCCTCCAATAGGAAATTGTCCACAAGGCGCGTGCTGCCTGTGGACAAGAGAGTGTAGGTCTCCTTGAAGTCGGGCATTCCAAATAATCCCTCTTTATTTGGTCAAATCCCACGACTTCGGCTCTCATTTTAGTGGTGGTTATCATACGACGACTGAGAGCATCGGCAGCCTTATTTTCAACTCCTTCCTTATGTCTAAGGTTGTACGAATACTCCTGGAGGAACTCAACCCATCGACCATTGCATGCATTTAATTTCTTTTGGGAGTTGATATAACGCAGAGCTTCATGATCCGAAAAAATGACGAACTCTTGCGGGAGCAAGTAATGTCGCCAATAACGAAGTGATTGGATCACGGCGTAAAACTCTTTGTCATAAGTAGAATAACGCTGCCGGATATCATTAAGTTTCTCACTGAAGTAAGCAACTGGGTGACCTTCATAGGAGAGGACTCCTCCAATTCCGACCCCTGAAGTATCGCAAGTTACTTCGAAGGCTTTGGAGAAATCAGGAAGCCGAATCACTGGGCCTTCCACCATTTTATGCTTGATATCATCAAAAGCTCTGGTAGCGGCCGGGGTCCAGTGGAAATCACCCTTCTTCAGGCAATCAGTGATAGGAGAAACGATAGTGCTGAAATTCCGAATGAATCTCCTATAGAAAATGGCTAATTCGTGGAAGCTGCGGACTTCCCGGATGTTCTGAGGGATGGCCATTCAACAATGGCCCTCACCTTCTCGGGGTCTGCGAAAACCCCTTGGGCTGAAACGATGAAGCCCAGGAAAATGATGCGATCTACTGGGAAGGTGCATTTATTCGGGTTGGCATATAGTTGCTCATTCCTTAAGACCTCACAAACTTGCCTCAAGTGGTCTAAGTGCTGATTGATGGAATGACTGTAGATAAGAATGTCGTCAAAGTAGACGATGACAAACTTTCCCATAAAAGGACGCAGCACTTGAGTCATGATTCGCATAAAGGTGCTAGGGGCTTTACTAAGCCCAAAAGGCATGACTAACCACTCGTAGAGACCATCCTTGGTCTTAAAGGCAGTTTTCCACTCATCTCCGGGTCGGATCCGGATCTTGTGGTACCCACTTTTGAGATCAATTTAGAGAATAGTGTGGCACCCGTCATCATATCAAGCATATCATCAATCATCGGACTAGGGAATCGATATTTGACGGTGATCTTGTTAATAGCGCAGCTATCAACACATTCTCCACGATCTGTCCTTCTTCGGGGTGAGAAGAGCCGGCACCGCACACGGACTCAGACTCTCCTTAATGAAACCTCAATGCAGTAACTCGTCAACCTGCTTCTTAAGTTCGGCATGTTCCTTGGGGTTCATGCGATAGTGAGGTAGGTTCGGGAGGGAGGCTCCAGGGACGAAGTCTATGGCATGTTTGATGTCTCTAAGAGGTGGTAACTGATCTGGAAGATCATCGGGAAAGACATCAGTATACTGCCCTAAGATAGGCTGCACTTCCTGAGGAATGGGCTCGTCAGATTCGGTGGGAATCTCACGGCCTACTAAGGCGAAAAGAGGGGCACCTTGAGCAATCTCAACGGTTAGGACCTTAGCGGTGACAAGGTTTACTCCTTTCTTAGATTTGACTGGGTTGGATTTTGTGTCATCCGTAACCCGAGACTGCGATGACAAAAGCTTAATCTTTTTGCCTGCATGTTCGAATATGCAGGTATTCGAACGCCCAAAAATGTGGACATCGTTATCGTAGATCCAAGGACGACCTAACAAGATTTGTCCACATTCATCATCAACACATCACACCAGACATTCTCCTTATAAGTGGCAAAGGAGATGGGCACGTGGCTTCGTTCCTTCACCTCCAAGGCAGTGGAGTTGACCCATGCTACCTTATTCGGGTTGGGAGGAGGAACGGCAGACAGACCTAACTGGGATACCATGCTGGAGGAAACAACATTTATGCAGCTACCACTATCCACGATGACCTTGCAGTTTTTATCATTGATCTTGGTGTAGGTGTGAAAAATCAAGGTCCTACACCAATCATTCGTGGGTGTCGAGTGGGATAACGCGTATCTCACCACGCAGATGGGAGAGGTATCCAATTTCTGAAGGCAATGGAGGACTTCAGTATCATCATCCTCCTCGAAGTATTCATCTTCTTCCTCAACTTGGTGGATCTGATCAACCTCGGGCTCGAGATCGTCCTCAGTAATATCCTCGATGATCGAGACTTTATAAGGGCTGGAGCACTGAGAAGCGATATGCCCATACCCCTGGCATCGAAAGCATTTGGTCCCGGGACTGTATAGAGGGGTATCCGGGGTGGGAGGTTTGCCTCTAAAGTCAGATCTAGGTGTAGTAGGACTCGTGGGTGGTCGGGTCGTGTTCCCAGAAGTGGGTCGGGTAGCAGAAGAGTGTGGGGTGGAACTACTGGCTAATCTGTAGGAGGGTCTAGAGTCATGTGAACCACTCGGGTCTCCTCTAGATCAAGCACTAAGCTATAGGCATTTTCCAGTGTAGTGACGTTCCCGGCAAACAACTCATTATGAAGATCCTCTCGCAACCCGGTACGAAACATAGATAAGATCTGCGCGGGGGTGGTAGAGGTCTCCCCTTTGCAGCGAATCAAGAAGTCATCGAAAGAGATGTACTCCTTCACTGGTTTGTTGTCTTGGGTCAGCCTATTCCACCTGTCCAATAGTCGGGGGAAGTACGATGAAGGCAAGTACTTCTTCTTGAGTTCCCGCTTCATGGACGGCCAATCTACAATTGGGTAATCATTCCTAGCTTCTCTAAGGCTCTCTAAGTTGGCCCAAAACTGACTCGCCCTACCAATGAGTTTCATCTCTGCAAAACTAACCTTCCTAGCCTCATATATGTCATACCACTTAAAGAAACTGTCCATACATTTGACCCAGTCCAAGAAGAGCTAAGGATCGAGTGTGCCATCAAAGGTAGGAGCATCAACCTTAATATTTTTCATAAGTGGTGCATCAGGATCATGACGTGGGTCATGTCCGTGGTAGGGTGCTCGATGATTGGCACGGTGTTGCCTCTCATCCAAATCTGAATCATGGCGTGGGACATGTTCGTGGTACGGAGCTCGATGATTGGCACGATGTTGCCTCTCATCGGTGTAGGGTTCATCCCCATACATAGAAGGTGGTCTAGATGGGGTGTAGGGAGTTGGGTGATCTCTAGCTCGCTCAAGTGTATCAAATCTCTCAGTGGTGTTCCTACGAAGCTCAGCTAGATCCGCTTGGTTTTTCTTAAGTTGCTAGTTAATGTTGTTCATTTGGCCTACCAACAAGTCTAAAGTCTTTCCTAGTTATTCCGGGTCCATTGGAAGTTACTACGGGACTCCAAACAAGACTAGGATGTAAAGGGCAGCAATTAAGATGAATAAAACACAAAGATATGATGCAGAATGATAGGAAAAGCAGACAGGGCAGCAACCTAACAGTCTTCTAAATGACAGCAATGCAAATAGGATATGCAGAAAAGAAAACTACCATGAATCCTAAGACATGCAAGAGCATACCATGCTCTGATACCAGATGATACAAGACTAAGCATGAAATGCTTTAATTCACTTAGATTTTGCACAACTCTTGATTAGAATAATTATAAAACAAAACTCACAGCAGTTTAAAATGACAAATCAAAACAAATAAAGGGTCACACCCGCTTAGGCTAAATCACGTGGCAAGAGATTTGAAACTTCCAAAATAAAATAGAAAACAATACAATGGCAAGTAGTAGTTTCAAGGAAATCCCTAATCTAACAACAATGACTAGTAAACATAAAGGTGCACTCAAACCCTACGTTTACTAAGCTTTAGCATGAGCGGTAGAGAATTGTCCGTCGTGATTGTCATCAATTCCAAGAGAATTTAGAGTTAGGAAATATAATGAAAGAGGAAAGAGAAACCTTCGCAAATGAATGGTGGAGATCCTCCACTCGACGCCTTCGAAGTGTTTGTCGATTGCTTCCACTAAGGTGTCCAGAATGCGTTCGATATAGTCCTCGACGGTGTGATCAATCCTTGGATTAATGTCGAAGAAGGTGGATTGTAGGAAGTCGGTGAAGTCGTCCTCGTCCCACGTTAATCCATATTCAATCTCCGGATCCGTCATTCATGGGTGGTGGAAGACAAGATCTCCTTAGTATTTGATATGCCTCTTGAGTAGTAGCAAAGAGAAAGGATTTTCTCTTACAAGTGAAGGGAGGATAATTCCTAAGTCCCCTTTTCAAAAATCTGGAAATAGTTTCAGATTTTGGAGCCAAAATCTGAGAGAAATTTCAGATTTCTATGCTTAGGAGGTAGGAGAGTTGGAAGGAGAAACTAAGGCATCAATTTACTTGGGGTATTAAAGAGGGATAGATGAGATATGAGAGAGAGAGAGAGAGAGAGGCAATTAGGGAGAAGGAGGTCGGCGGCAGTAAGGGGGATAGGGATGGGGATTTATTTCCTAATTCCAATATTTGGTTTAGGAAATAATTTAATAATTTGAGGCTCTTAGGCAAATTCGGCCAGCATAGATCAAGGGGATTTGAAATAGTTTCCTAAAGCAAAGGTGTTGATTTAAGAAATAATTCCTAATCCAAGCAAGGGGGGGCTGGCGGCATTAAGGAGAGGGGGAGTAATTAGTGAGAGGATTGAGGGCTTCCTAATTGGGTTTAGTAAAGAGGGAAAGTTTAAATTAAACCCAAATTTAAAATTCAAATAGGTTTAATTTAGGAACTTTCCTAAAATAAATTTGATATTTTAGGAAAGATTTAAATTGCAAATTGAACAAATTTTAATTCAAAAATCTGTGCCAAAATATCCAATCCCAATTAGGCAATGGAACTTAATGGGAAAGGGGGAGTGGGAGCCGGCGGCTAGATGGCTGGAGCCGGCGGTATGGAGGCTCGGGTTGGGGGTTTTGGCCGTGGGGTTAGGAGGTAGGGGAACGGGATTCAGGTGTGGTGGAATCCGGCAGGTAAGTGAGGGTGGAAAGGAGAAGGAAGAAACAAAAGGAAGGAAAGAAAACGAGATAAACGAAAGAAACCACGAACCCAACTTATCTAGGTTGGTGAGCGTTGCGCAAACCTCCCTCTCCTAGGGATCTCTCTCCATTAGAACTCTCAAGCTCTCTCAAACTCATCCATGCAGAAATATTCATAAGCAATCATTCATTACGCTCAAACATCATACAAGAGGCTATAAATAGCCAAGTACAATGGACTCAAAAAAATAAAAGACCAACTTTCCCTTTGCGCTCATACACGACAATTCCCACTAAAGGGGTACAAACGGAAAAACATAATGACACTAAGAAAATAGAAAATACATAAATAATAAAATAGCATAAATGACTCAGAAATACAAAGACTAGATCGTGGCCGTAGATCGGCGACCATGCCACTGATAAACCTTCCACGAGCTGATGTCCCCATCAATATGAACTCAAATTTGGGCTTAGCTTGCATGGCATCTAGACTGTCCAAGTAAAGATAGAAGCCAGAAAGTTCAAAGTCAAATTACCCGCTTATGAAACACTTAAAAAGCACCTAAGCCGAACCATTAGAGTTGGTCAACTTAAGCATACAACAAGCAAAGATCCATCAAGCTTTGATCAAAAGCTGCCAAGTGAAAAGGTGTTTGATAGAGAAATCTTCCCTTGCAATAAGATCTACCCTGCGTGACCATGTGTTAGGAGCTCTGTGAAAGGGCCAGTCAACATCATAGGATCCATGAAACTTAAAAGGTATGAAAACAAATTCAGGTTTGTGGGCATATGGAAGTATGACCCCCTAAAAATTTCTACTATTTAATTTTCTATTCAAGGTGTTCACGGTATTGAGCATAGGAAATAAAGAATCTTATGCAACATTAAAAATGTACCAGCCGAAATTTCTCTTAATAAATTTGAATGCGAAACTATAGATCCTATAATCAATCAAGTTTTTTATTAATAAATCTACTAGGTAAACACTTGATGTATGAGAAAATAAATTTAGCCTTGTGAAAGCTAACCTTGATAGGATATTTCACCTCCCCTCTTGCGTTTGTTGTCTTTATTGCTTGAACAGCATCAACAACCTAAATAAAAGTACGGCAAAGCAAACATAAAATAAATAAAACAAAATTAAGTTCAAAAGAGGAATACTCTTAAATACAGCTAAATTCTCCTGAAAAATAGGTTTAATGTATGGTTGCCATATTTAAGTGAGTGGGTGTGTTAGGAGCGAGGCGGGGGAGAAATGGCTTAACAATAAATCAGAACCAACAGATCAATTTTTTTAGGTGTCAAATACAGTCCCAGCCATCCCAATCGTCCCTTACCTCTTGATCCCATGGCCAGCATGGGGATTCAATGGGAGGCTCACCTGGATCATGCCAACCTCCCTTCATATTTGAGTGGATGATTTAGGAATAATTATATTAGTACAATTATGCATTATTATGTAATTATTTGTTTCCTTTATTAAGATATCTTGTATAGATATATAAATATAGATAGTTTTTGGAATAAAAGAATGTCTATTTTCCTCTCCAATTCTCTGAATTTAACTATAAGTAATGCTAAAACCTGTCTAATAGAGAATGCGACCAATGCAAACAAGAAATTTATGAATACTAAAGTTAAAAGATACCAATAAAGAGAGATATTTGGGATATTTTTATACATATCATCTAAATCATGCATATTTACAAAAATAACACCCATTATATACAATCGTCAAATTCTCACTCATACATCAAAATTCACAATAAAAACCAACCAATAATTTTCTCTTTCGTCAAATTCTCAATGGTTTAATCATGGTAAACACATGCATTAGTTTGCTAATTCATTTTTTATGGGTGGCACTTCTGTAAGTTGACACATGTTGATAGCATATGTGTAAATCTCCTGCATTTTTATTGAAATACTAGTAATTTTTTTATTGTAAAATTTTAAAGAAGAAAACTAGATCCTAGAGTTAATAATGACCTGAAATGACAAGGACAACCATCACAAAACCTTTAAAGTTTCATCATTGCCTTCTAAATTCCCTAAAAAAATTTACCAACTTGATCTATATTTTTATATTTTTCTTTTAAAGTAGAGCGTGAGCAGTAGTAGGGGTTAGAAATAATTTTCAACTAGTAATAGAAACGCACAGTTAAAATATCGTTGATTGGGCCATTGTCCCAACTCCAAAAATCAGCATACTAGTATAAGCAAAAACAATAAATATCATGATGCTGAAGAAAGCCTAATAATACCATCGAATTGGAGTCGGAGTATATATTATAAGTGTTTTTGCTTGGCGTTAGAAAAAGAATCATGTTAAATTCATCCCGTGTGCTCAAAGTGGCGAACATGTGCAAGAGTGTTAATATGCAATGCACTTCAAAGTTTAGGAGGATCGAAACTCACTGCTTGCAGAAAAAAAAGTTATCTGCATGGTAGAAAGATAGTTGGTCATTTAGTAAACTGACTAATAGAAGAAAGATGAAAGTGGAAAGGATAAAGGATAGAGATTCCGCATGCAGAATTGGAAGAGAATCATATATACAACTGGAATCAAGAGAGAACACTCAAGAATAATTTCAATCAATCAATCATCAATAGTCAATTATCTTATAAAAGCCATCAATCTTTATTTCTAGAAGTTACAAAGATAAAACCAGAAAGTAGAAACTATGAAATCAAATCTAATACTACCTAAAATTAAATATAATCCTACAAACATTCAAAATCAAACATAATATTATCCAAAAGGATAAATTAAACAAATAAAAATCTAAAAAAATATATGAAGAGACTGCCAAAATTAAATATGAGCCCGGGAAGCTTGAAAATAAGCTTCGTTCAGAACTTTTATAGCCCTATTTGACTATATTAGGTTACCCAATGAAAAACTAGCCTTTTCTAAAACAAAATAGCTTAATTGTATGTAGAAAAGATATGAATACACATCATTAATACCTTAATACACTTCATTAACTCCTAATTAATACATAAATCTCAAATGATTTAGTAAATTGCCACAAAATACCAAAAGATCAAAGTGAAATTCCAGGAATGAGTAAACATAACAAATCGCCATGAAGGATTTTTTAAATCAACCATCAAACAAACTGTACCTAAATTTGCTGTATGTTGGAAATGATCTCAAGCATGCAGAGCTTATTTGAGTGTATGTCGTTAAGAGTGAAGACTAGCTTCAAACACATTACCAAAAAAAAAAAAAAACGTTGTCCGAACCTCAGGTTTGTATCCCAGGAAAACAATCAAGCGTATGAGAGTAGTTTTGAAGGAAATGATAGCTCAAAAGAACCTTCTCAAAAGAATAAGAAGGTTTGGGATTAATCTTTAACTTCCTCTAACAAACTATTTGAGCAAAATGTAGTTTAACATTGACGAGGTAGAGGGTGGATGAAGAAGACATTTTACTATGAGTTATGCTAAACAGAAAAACCCTGGTTAAAGGGAATTTTGGTCTTCTGATCAATCGAAGGGCTAAGCATCAAAATACCTCGTCATTAATATTGCAACTAGGCCATCATCCTCTTGGGGTAATGGACGAAATGATAAAGCCTTTGATCTAAGAGATCCATGTTGATGGATAGAAAATCATATGGTTGGATTTCTTTCAGATTGATGTTGAATATTAATCGACTTGGATGGTCAAATCCATATTGAAACCTTAGATTAGTGTTTATTCCAAAGATCCCCATGAATCTTGAAGTAATTTGATTGTGTCGATTCAAAAGAAGCATTGTCTTGCTCTACCATTATTACATGGAGATTGTGAAAACATGAATCATGATGTTCTTGATCGAATGATCGAGATTGATTCAAATATAACAATTGTTTATAATGTATCAATTGCTCCATATTTTTGAACTTTTTATAAGCCAATTAGTTGGATGATGGCAAAGATTCTCCAATAATACTCCACAATCAACAAACATATCTCCTTCATTGACCACGAAAATACTCCCATCATTACACCTCCAATAACTAGAAATTTGTAAAAACATGTGTTGTACCTCCTTCTATCTCTTTGAGGAACCCCCCCGCCCTCCTCTCTTTAGCCCAACTTATTTTTTTCCTAAGATCCTCGGCATATGCCTTTTTAATTTCATAGTATACAATTCTACATCTATCTAGTTATATCCCTTTCTATTCATATCATTCTCTATCTATCTTTGACTCTCTTTATTTGCGCCTCTTTATATATCTCGTTTTATTTCCCTCCATCACTCTCTTTGTATCTTTTTGCCTTTTTTCCCAAAAAAAATGCAACGGATTGTTACCTCTATCTCTTTTTATACATTTAACATTTTTCAATCTTAAAATTTGGTCCTTCTAATACATTAGAATATATCCATGTGTTTAGAGGTGCCAATAAATGACCTATCCAGACAACCCGACCCAAAAAATCCGAGTTCATGTCTGTTACTGTTATTATTAAATGAGTCAGGTTCAGCTCGGATTAACACACCAATCCAATTTTGACCCAAAAGTTGACCCGTTTAATATTTTTACCTTAAATTATTTTATTCTCTGGTGTGATTGTCTTATTTTTTATTAATTAACCTAAATATATGGTTTACAAGTTATATATGTTTTTTTATCAAAACGGGTTATCAAGTTAGGTTAGGATCATTTGGGTTGCTAGCGGGTTGGGTTCGAGTGAACATTTTTTATCCATTTATTAAACAGGCCGGGTTCATGTTCACCGGATTTGGGTTGGGTCAACTTCGGGTCAGACCCAAACATGACCTCATTTTGACACCTCGAGATATAATGGAACGTGCATAGATATGAGCTTTCAACTTTCAAGCTTGATAAATGTCCGAAGGCATGGATCCCACCAATCGTTTCCTAAAAAAGATCAAAGAATCAAGTTCCATCCAAAAAGAGATCATAAGAATTGGATTCCAACAATCACTTCATAGATTAGTTTGCATCTCTTTTAGCATGCATATTTGTGTATAACTTCATTCAAATAAAATCTTAAATTATTTATTGCTTTATTACTATTATATAAACCGAATAATAGATTTCTAATATGTTCTTAACTTAAAAATACATGTTTGGTAGTTGAGGTCTGCATAATGGACATACCCTATAATACTTAAGTGTTATTCAACTCATATAGAAACACTACAGTAAATACTTATTCTTTATTGTATGAATCACAAATGAATGTATGCCTCCAACTTTCTTTAGATTAATCGAATCTAGAGCCCACATGTAATGTCTCCATTAATGCCCAAAATTCATAGATGATCAAGATCCAAAACCTCCGCAAAGATGAATGGAACAATAAACCTCATTCTTCGAGCTATGTTTCCTAGACACTAATATCAAAAGATATTCTACAATCCAACATCTTCCTAAATATGCTCCTAGTTAATGAATTTGTATATATAATTCACTTTCAACGTAAAACATTTCACCAAATTAAGAACATAGTTATTAGCCATTTTCTTTCATCCTAGAATATGGTTTCCTTGATTATGTTGCTATTGCATACCAATTAAGCAGTCTCATATAGCAAATATAAGAAAAAATAACCTTATCTATGTGCATAATCCAAGCATAGAAAACAAAAAGTTATACAAAAATTAATAGATTAAGCCAACAACATTGGAGCAATCATATCCAACAAGGAAAACAATTGTGGAAATAGATGAATGTGAAACTAACTCATATTTGTTTTCAAAATTGCTAAAGGAAACAATCATTTATATCCGTACAACAGAAATAAATCAAAATGATACCTGGCAGCAATAGAATAAGTAAATTGAGTTGTTTTGGATATTACATAAAAATTTTCATTTGAATTTGATTAAGAAAAAGTAGAATATGGACTTAAATACAAGGATTGTGTTTGTCTAACCAAATTTGCAAAGAAGTCACTATCAGTGCCAATAAGCTTTGAAGACATGCTAGTCTTGGCACAGTTTACAAGCGAGTCCTTTCCAAGTTTTTCAACCTGAATATGCAAATTAAAGTCCATGAAAAGTCAATGTTGAGCAAAAAGAAACATAAATGGTAACAATGTAATCATTATAGAACTCACCTTGACAGCAAGCTTTTCATCAACATACTTGCATGCTTCCCTCATTGCAAGCTAATGAACACAATAGGCAAAAATGATGCCATATAAATCACAAGCCTATATTACTCACATTCAAATGCCAAAGGGCATGCAAAGCAATATCCAAATGAGAAATATTGATCAATCACCATATCCATCTATACAAAGCAGTCTAAATCTTACTCTGTAACCGCTGATTATTGATGTTGGATGAATTTTATTCCTAACAAGGTCATTTGCCCTCTGCAATAAAATAAATACCAGTTTCCACAAATATTAAATAATTAACAAAAAACATTTTGCAAGAAGCATAAGCTTTACGAAAATATAGAAAACAAGGCCACCTTTAGCAACTCTGCAGCTACAATAACAACAGAAGTTGTCCCATCTCCAACTTCACGATCCTGAAGTTCAGCTAATTCTACAAGAACCTAAACTTTTCAAAAGTTGCCAAAAAAAAACTTCTGTAAATTTAAACATTTAACCAAGATAGATCATGCACATATAATGCAAGCAATTATTTAATGACTGATTACCTTGGCAGCCGGATGCTCAACTTCTAGCATTTTGAGTATCGTAGCCCCATCATTAGTAATTGTCACATCACCAATGTCATCAACTAGCATCTATGAGGTTCATCATATCAATAACAAGTTGTATTCCAACATATATAACACTGATTATAGCAAATAATTTTGAGATGTTTTCAACAAGCATATTCAAGAAAGCATATTTAGTGCAACTTCAACCAAAAATACAAAAACAAATAAATAAATAACTTATGACATGTTCCCTGTCACATTACAGATTAATCAAGTTTGGCAGGTACAAGAGAATGAAACCTAAGTAACAATAGTAAACCAACAACAACATCAAGCCTTTGTCCCACTACGAGAGGTCGGCTATATGAATACTTTTTTTCTATTGTGTCATGTTAAAAGTCAAATTCTCATTTAAATCTAATAAAGGAAGATCATTTCTAATATTTTCTAACCAAGTCTTTTTAGGTCTACCTCTACCTTTCTTAACATAAGTCAAATATAATACCTCAAATTTCTCAACCGGGTTATCAGAAGGCCTCTGTTTAATGTGACCAAACCATCTAAGGCCTCCATTTTGAGTATCATATAGTAAACCAGATGCAAAAATGCAACCAATGCAGTCACATGACTGATGCTATCAACTAGCATCTATGAATTTCATCATATTAATAATAGCAAGTCATGTTCCAAAAGATATAACGCTCATTTTACCAAATAAATTTGCAATATTTTCGATAAACAGATCCAAGAAAGCATATTTTGTGCAACTTTAACAAAAAAAAGGACCTTAGAACATGCTACATTGCAGATCAATCAAGTTTGGCAGGTAAAAGAAAAGAAAACCAAAGTAAGCCATACACCAACGGTAAACTTGAAAGGCAATAATACACCCAATGTAATGCACTGACTGAGATGTGAAAATACTATATGAAACCACTATTGGTAAAGTTCAACATCACGCTTGGGATAAAAATATAGAGCAACTAAGAACACAAGTTAACACAAAAAAAAATGCTTTGTAGGTGACAGAACCATGTCTACTACTTGTAATAGATCACAGAAGACCCAACAACATTTGCGGAGAGGTTATTCTACAAAAATCAAAACTTAAGATACCTAAATCGAGCAAAACAAGTGACAGCTGATTAGCGAACAATAGTTCCTAAACTTCTGCAAAACGAATATAAAACAAGCAAAAAGTATCTATATGATGATTTAACCTCAGATCACAGAAATTCCTAACCTTGTCGAGCCCAACAGGACCGAGTGATGACTTGACAATGTTGGCAACCGCTTGGCACGCGACCACTTGTTCAATATTTATAAACGAGAACAGAAAATGCAATCAGAGAATTGGAAAGGTAGACCAGCCTGGCTTAAATCATGCCTCTTTGTGAAATAAATGAAGGATTAAAGAGTACAAAGATCAGTACCGTTTTGAGTTCGAACATCTTGACCCGACTGCCGCTCACCGAGGATGTCCGGTGTCTGAGCCATCATCGCCATTAGTGGCAGTCAGACCGCGCAATGGGCTTGCTGTGGAGAAAACCCTAGTAGGTGATGGCGCCTCGAATAGTCGAATGGAGCCAATATATTGGAAACGTAAATAAGATAGCGATGATGCTCGAAGTTTGGAGGCCAAGTTGTCTGGCCGGGCTGCCCTGTGCGGTTCGTCGTCCAGATCAAACCCTAAACCGATTTTGAATAATCAGGATTCAGGGCAATCGGACATCATAATAATAAATAAAAAATATTAAATAATATTAATTTTATTAAAAAATATTAAATAATATTAATCTTATTAAAAAATATTAAATAATATTAATTTTATAAAAAAATTATATGTAAAATATAAAATCATGCATTACGAACGTACAATAAGAGAAAAAAATCCTAGCCGACTTGCGCTCTCCTTCCCCCATGCGATTTCACTTTTTCGATCAGGCCCCTCTTGCCGTCGACAATATTCTTTTCCATGGATCCATCCCTCTCTCCTCATGACTTCCCCCCTCTGTCTTCATCAGCTACTCCTCTGATTCCTATAAACTTAAATCGGCTATGGTCGAATATTGCAGCTGCTCCAGAAACTCCCTCAATTGCCCTCCCGATTTCCTTCTTGGATACTCCAGAAGAGATTGTTCCATTTAACAAAGAGAAGATTGTTGCAGTTGCTCCTGAATGGGATCTCTTTTTTGTCGGATATTCTCTGGGTAAGCGTCCTTTTTATGAGTCGCTGCTTGCTACGGCAAATAGAGTCTGGAAATTTAAAGGTAATTTTAAACTTATCGCCCTCAGTGACGGTTTTTTCCTGTTTAAATTCACGGTACTGGAAGATTTTGACATGGTTTGGTCAAAATGGGCTTGGTATTTCTTAGAAAAACCGTTTATCTTTCAAAAATAGACACCACTTTTTCAACCTACTAGAGAAAATTTTTCTTCTATACCTATCTGCGTCAAGATCATTGACCTACCCCTTGTCTGCTGGAACTTTGAAGGAATGTCAAGGATAGTGTCTAAAATCGGAATCCCTATTGCAGTTGATGCTTTAACTGCGGCAAAAACTAGGTTGATGTATGCCCGAATCTGCATTCAAGTGTCTTCCACTTCAAAATATCCGGATTTCATTCCTATCTCCTTGGAAGATAAAGTGATTCACCTTAAAGTGCAATACGAATGAAAATCGGAGCTGTGTACTCATTGCAATTTTATTGCTCATACCTCATTTGCTTGCCATTCTAATACAAACCCGAGCCCTCCCAACATCCCTCCTCCTAGAGGTCGCAGTTTCTCTCATCAACCCCAACACAGAACTCTGTCCCGACCCCCAATACCAAATAACCAACCCGAAAACTCTTCATCTAAACCATCTTCCCTCCCAACTACAAAATCTCCTCTTAAAATCCCACCCTCCCCCCAACATGTCACCAGTCCCATACTAAACATAAACTCCAACCCCTCAACATCCTTTAATCCACCTCAAGTAATCCTAAATGCTCCTACTTTCAATCTCAGTGGTGCTAATGACTCCATTCCTTTACCCATCTCTTCCACAAATCCACCCATCCCAACACCCTCCCTCAAAGTCGCACCTGAGAACCTTCCACTCCAGAACAACACCACCTACCTAACCTAAATTCCCCCACCAATTTACCTCCAGAGCAACATGATAAGGTGTCTCCAGAATCTCTGATTTCTACAAATGAGGCTTCCAAAAACATATTTAATGTACTTAAACCTTGTAACACTGGGCAATATACACTATCCACATACACTTCTTCTTTCTCTAAAGAGGAGATACTTGACAACTCATCGAGTAAAGCCAATATTGCCTCACAATCAAAATCCTTAAGGGGGAGAGCTAAAAAACCCCCAAACACAAAAAAATAAATGATTAGTCCCTCCATTGCATCTTGGAATATCAGAGGTTTCTCCTCCTCTGATAAGGTTTTTTGCTGCAAAAGAATGGCCCAATCTTAGGGTCTTGACATGTTTTGGATTTTGGAAAACAGGACCCACCTTACAGCTTTGTTTGATACTTATTTCTTCAACACCCTCCTTCTCTTTGAAAAGGAAGATAGTTTCAATAATTTTTATTGCTCCAATTCGGATAAAATTTGGATCAAATGGTCAAGTGACAGGATTGCATTCAATCCTTCCTTTATCTCTTCTCAGATGATTACTGGTAAAGTCTATTTTGGTTTAACTAAACATTTTATCTTATCTGTTATCTATGCCTCCAATAATCAAGAAGAGAGAAAAACGCTTTGGGAGGAAATCATCTATGTTGCTCCTTTAGATGATACCCCTTGGATTTTAATGGGGGATTTCAATTGTTGTAGATTCTCATCCGACAAGCTTGGGGGTAATGCCTTACATCAAAGTCAACTTCATGACTTCAATGCATCTATTTTCAATATGAAGCTCAAAGATCTTGCATCAGTGGGTAACCCTTATACGTGGTTTAATCAAAGGTTGGAAATGCCTATTCACATCAAGCTTGATCGTATGTTGGTTAATGATGATTGGTTAGCTACCTTTCCTAACTCCCACTATGTGGTCAAAAGTCCTTCATGCTCTGATCACTATCATATTGTTCTTCTGCCTAGAGAAAAGACTTCTTCATCTGACATATTTCTTTACAAGAATTATTGGGCTAATATTGATCAGTTCTGGTTTACTCTTATATCCATCTTCTCTGCTAAATCTAATGGGCAACCATTGTTGGATTTATGTAATAAGATTAAACAAGTAAAGATTTTTATCAAAGGCAACAACTGGGCTAATTCCAATCTCTTGAGTAAACACATTGAAGCCCTACAGCAAAAGCAAGAGTTCTTTCTCACAATTCTGAGTTCGGGCTATGACAATCCTGACATTACCCTTGCTCTTAAAAATGTCAATAATCAAATAGTTCATGCTAATTCCAATTGGACTTCTTGGGTTTTGCAAAGGGCTAAAACGAAATGGATGACTCATAGTGAAGATGATTTAAAGTTTCTCTTCTCAAAAATTTGTATCAGGAAGCATTACAAAAAAATGTCTCTCTCTCTCTCTCACTATGTCTACTACCACCACTTCCTATAATGATGTTGTTAATGCCACTATTAGTCACTTTAAAGCTCTTTACAACACTCATATCCAACGGCAAGTGGATATGAGAGTTATTCCATCTGGTAACATCATTCCTCCGGATATGATTGAGGGTCTAATCATGCCCATTACTAATCAAGAAATTAAGAAGGCAATCTTCTTTAGCGCCTCTAGTTCTACTCCCGGTCTAGATGGATTCAACTTTGATTTTTATAAGAGCACTTGGCTTATAACTAGGCCCTCCATTTATAAAGCCATCAAATCCTTCTTTCAAAATGGATCCATGCCTAAGGTAGTTAAGAACACTGCAATCACTCTCATCCCTAAAAATAGTCATGCTTCATCCTTAGCAGACTTCAAACCAATCTCTCTTTACAACACTATCTATAAAATTATTACCAAGATTTTATCAACCCGTCTCAAGCCCATCATGCCTATCATTATTAAAGGTAACCAGACTAGTTTTATACATAAGAGAGTTTCCACCGACAATATACTTCTGGGTAAAGAATTATTATTCCATTCCAAAACCTCCACTAATTTTAGAGTCATGTGTGCCAAACTATATATTAAAAAGACATTCGACAGTGTTTCTAGAGAATTTATTTCTAAGAGACTTTTGCAAAAGGGTTTCCTATATTATTTATTAATTGGGTTGAAGCTTGTTTTAATAATGTTTGGTTTTCACTTTGTATCGATGGTGCTTTGGAAGGCTTTTTCCCCTCTAAGGTCAATGTTAGATAAGGTTGCCCCCTTAGCCCTTTACTTTTTAGTGTGGTTATGGATGCTTTCTCTTGCCTTTTGGATGGTAATGATAGATTTCAAGTACCTCAGGTTGGCAATAATTGCATCTCCCGTCGGTTATACGCTGCTGATCTCCTTATCTTTGGTAAAGCTGATGTGCAGAATTGTGATACTTTAGTTCAGTTTTTGGATATTTTTTCTGCTAGTACTGGCCTTTTAATCAATTATGATAAGAGCTATATTATCATACCTCCCAATTGCCCCAATGATGACGTCATATGCACTTCTCTTTAAATCTCAATCCCCTATAAGTGCATTAAATATTTGAGTATTCCTATATCTCCATACAATCTTAAAGTGGCGGATTTCTCTGGGTTGATGGAAATTATCTATCACAAATTGTCGGGCTGAAAGGCTAAAACTCTCTCCCTTGCTGGTCGATTACAGTACCTACGCTTTACTATTTGGAATATCATTGCTTATTAGATTAGGGAAGCCATTTTACCTACAACTATCATTAAGCAAATTGACAAACTTTGTGCCAAGTTCCTATACTTTGGGGACACGTCCCTTAAGAAATTGCATATTATTTCTTGGAAAAATACCTGCAAACCAAAACAACATGGTGGTCTGAGCATCCCATCACTATAAGCCCTTCAATTTGGTTATAATTGTGCTCTTATAATCAGATTGTATAATAACAGGATCCTTCTTTCCAATTGGGTTTTGTCTAAATATATCTCTCCGTGGAAACCACCTTCATCTAAAGCCTCCTCTTTTTGGAAGTCCCTCTGTAATCATGCTTCTATTGCTAGTGATATGCTCAGATTTAATGTATTTCATAATTTCCCAATTTCTCTTTACTATGATCATTGGATTGATGGCAAAAGATTGGATGAGATGCCAATTTTTCAACCGATGATGGGAATTTTCCTTTGAATGCAAAGCTGGAAGTTTTACTGAAAGAAGAGGGATGGGTTATTCCTCTTGATAGCTCTAATGCCATGCAAGAAATTCTGTTTCACTTACCTGTTAATAATTCCATTTGCCTTGCATGGAAGGATGGTAATGCTAAGTGGCTTAAAAATTATCTCATTTACTTCTATATGCATTTACCAAAGGTAAATTGTCATCAGTTTGTTTGGCAACAAAAAACATGCCTTGCATTTTTGTATTTTTTGTTGGCTGGCGCTATCAAATGGGCTGAAAATCTAAAATTTAGGGGAATTACTGTTAATCCTATAGGTACTTTATGCAATACTTGCTCTGAATCTACTAGCCATTTATTTTTTGAGTGTGATTACACTTATAATATCATTAGTAATTTGCTGCTACCTATCAAGGGCCATCTGCTTAGGCCAAACATT